ACAATTAAGATGCCCAAACCGGTCATGCCACAACTTTGAAACATCGTCCTTCACAGTTAAATGGCAAGAGGCTTCAAAATTATCAAGTTTGATCGGAAAAATATTATTTCCGGTCATACCGATATTTGCAATGTGTTGATCCTTCTTTTTCAAAACGCAAGTAAAGTCGTCGAAAAACATGTTGAAACATTTCCTCATCAAGTGACCAACACTTAGCAAATTACTTGCCAAGTTAGGTACATAGTAAACCTCATACATTGTTTCGACTTTTCCGGATTTTGTTTTGAAGACAATTTCTCCAACACCTTCTACTGCATAGGTGTATCCATCTCCAGGCGTAACTGTCCCATGGCTAGCTTCGACAATATTTGAGAATAACTTTTTATTCCCCGTCATGTGCTTGCTCGCACCACTATCCAAATACCAAGTATTTTCAAAGCTACCGTTACATGCAATCAATAAAATCTCCATATTTTCGACTTTATTTTCACGCAAATAACCAACTTCTTGTCTTTTTTCTGGATATTTTTCCCAACAATCGTTGATTTTGTGTCCCGGTTTATGACAATAATGACACTCAACGTAAGGCCTTGTACATTTATATGATCCTCGGCCTCGGCCTCTTCCTCTTTGAAAATTGTTCGGAAAATATTTCTCCTCCTCTTTCGCCTCATCATTTGATTTGGCTTGTCCACGGTAATTGTTGTAAGAGTTTCGTCCTCCTCTTATTTGGCCACGTCCACAGAACGAGCCACGGCCTCCCGTGAATGTAACTTGGGATTTTAATTCTTGATCCGAAGAAGAAATTTGAGGATTTCTTTGAAGAATCCTTGCCTCGTGTGCCTCCAATCGTCCTTGTAGACCCTCCAACGCCATTGATGAAAGATCTTGTACCTCTTCGATAGCCACAACAACATGATCAAATTTCACCGGCAAGCTTCGCATAATTTTTTCGACAACCCTTTGGGTTTCCATGACTTCGCCATTTGTGACAATTTGATTTACAACAGAGGTGATTCTTGTAAAATATTCAACAATTTTTTCGTTTTCTTTCATCACTAATTTTTCGAATTCAGCCCTCAAAGATTGCAAACGAACCTTCTTTACTTCATTTTTCCCGGCATATGTTGTTTGTAGAATTTCCCATGCCTCCATGGAACTACTCGCCTTGGTTAGTCTTTCATGGACGGGAACTTCGATGGCTTGATATATTTGGAAAAGAGCTTTTCGATCTTTTTGCCTTTCGGTTCTCAAAGTTTGTCTTTGTGCATTCGTCAATTGATCCTCATGTTCAGGAGTCTGAACACCGTCTTCAACAACGCTCCAAATGTCTTGAGATTCAAGACAAAGCTTCATAAGATTACTCCAATAATCGAATTTTTCTCCATTGAAACGAGGTACAAGAGAAGCAAGGTTAGTGGACATTTTTAAGATGGCTCTGATGCCAATTCGTAGGCACCAGGATGGGATAAAATGATTAATCCCGAATTTGGATTTTAGTGATTCTGTAAAGACTTGGAAAAAATAAATATCTTTGAGTAGAGAAAGTAAAAGACTAGTGTTTTTGAGTAGAGAAAGTAAAAGACTAGTAAAAATGTTGGAGCGAGAGAAAGAAAAGAGATGTCATAGGACGGATAAATGGGGCAAATCCTATAGAAGGAGAACGATTTTATCTTCCGTTACTCTTGAATCATGTTAGAGGGCCAACATCTTTTCAGGACTTGCTAACTGTTAATCATATGAGTTGCTCAAACTTCAAAGAGGCTGCCCAAAGAAGAGGATTAATGGAGTCCGATCAAAGTATAGTTGAATGTTTAAATGAAGCAATATCTTTTCAAATACCGCATGAGCTAAGAAGATTATTCGCTATCATACTGGTTTATTGTGCACCGACAAATGTGAATGATCTATGGGATTCTTACTTCGATCCAATGTCCGAGGACTTCAAAAGAGAATCAGGAACCACATATAAACTACAAGTCACGAAATCTTTAAAAAGCTTAAAGTTTTTCTTGGAGAGTATGGGAAAAAAATTAATTCCTATGATCTTCCTCTAATTCCAACAGAGTTGAATGATGCCCTGGATGATTTATCGAGAGAGATAGTGTTGGGTTTCGGGCACGCATACGCAGCGGAAAACAAAAATTTATGCGAATTAAACAAGTTTAAAACGCACATAGTACATGCCCGATAATTTAAATCAATTAATTGCGTACCTTTGCGCTTCCAGCGAAATTAAAAACAACATACATGCTAATAAATTTAACCGAATTTAAATCAATTAACATGCTCGCGTTTAAACCAAATAACATGCTTGCAACGATTTGATCGATTACACATAATCACATAAAATAATACGAAACAAACATGAATACATAGGTTTAAACAAAACTCAAATCGAAACTAGGGTTTCGCGTGATTACCTCTTGAAGCGTGAGGTAGGAGCGTATAGCACGTCGAGATTGCTACGGAAACCAATCCGTACAATCGGGGCAGCAATGGAATGCAGCGGCAGCAGCGGCGGATTAACCACGGCGGCGCGTGAGCTTCACGCGCGGACTTCCGGGGCAGCGTGCGGCTTCGGCTCGTGCGTTGCTCCTCGATTCTCCAATCTACAGTCTTCCTCCTCTCGGATTTCACCTCGTATACTTCGATCTACTAAAACGTGGCACTAGACACGAAGTAGTTAGAATTAACGGAAGAAAAGAAAGAAGAAAAGAATACCGAAAGAGATCGGCCAAGGGATGGCCGATTCCGGCGACGAGGCGGCGTCAACGGCGGAGGTGGCCGCGCGAGAGAGAGAGCGAGAGAGAGAGGTGGACGGCCGCTTTAGGGTTAGGGTTTTGTATTTTTGTGCAAGGCCTATAAATCATGTATTTATAGTCCCTTGCATAAAACCCTAGCGGGCTTAAGTTGGACCGGGCCCAACAGCTTAAGCTTGTCAGTTCCTTTAATCGCTCGTCTCTCTCAATTCAATGTCCGAAAAATTGCAACGATTACATTTTCGAAATCATTATAATTTCCTCGTCATTACGAGTGCCATCTCTCATTTTCCAACTTTCCAAAAGTGGAAACTCTAGTTCAGTGCACTTTCTAAATTTGGAAACTTCCCGATTTAGAAAGTTCACTAATACGTTCGCCTATTCTTTTCCTTTTCTGATTCTCATTCATAATTCCAAATTACGAATGTTGGACTCAATCATATTGACTTCCAATCATGCAAAGATAAACTATTTTATCTCTGACCGTTTATTCAAAGATCTCATGTGCACGAGCAGTGTGACCCTCGATGGTTCAGGTGTAAGCTAGCCGTGGGCCCACAACCCTTTGTGGTCAAAACTCGTCCCCTTCGAGTTATGATTAAGATGAAGCTCGTTTCACCTTAATCACCCAACGAATCAAGATTGGCGTCTAGCAACTACGCGTCATGATTCCCTAGATACAAATGAAGTGCCTGCAAGAACCTTCAGATATAGTTAACGTACAGTACGGTCCCTTCGATTCATATGTCCCGATCGAACTAGAGGCATTGGTTCATCGAGACCTCTTTATATGTTCGATGACGATGCGATCGTTCTAAGTGTTGTAATCCTTACGTGCATGACTTAGAGAATCGAATTCTCTAATCATCACTTAGTCAGCTCTGGCCAGAGACTTAGAATGATTACAAACTTTCAGAACACACAGGACATCCAAGACTATTCTAGCGATCGAATCCCCGACTACAATGCACAGACCTCCCACTAGATTTCGGACTGCACGAACACTGGCCCTTGGGATGGTCCTCGGTGGAACTCAGGGACAGGTCACGATACAGCTGGTCCTCTAGTGAAGTCACGGTGATGTCTAGGTCATAAGGACTAATGGTGTACAACTATACCATAGATATCTCTACTCGATTATTGGGAACCACTTAGAGATTTCTAGGGTGAGGGAGTTCAGTGAACTCGTCAACTTACGAGCACCCACTTATGCATGCCGATATCACAATACCGTTTACTGATGAGATGCAGTACACATACACTAAGTGCTAGTCTTAATGGGAAAGGCCGATATCTTCATTAGTGGCGTAACCCTTCGACTAGGAACACGTTTAACAGTTATAATACTTGAGTAAATATCTCACGATCCTAACGATCAATTACTAGTACTTGCAATAACTGTAAGGACTATATCTATGCTTGTGACAAAGGGACAAAGATATAGAATGCCAAGGTGTTTTATCATTAATACGAATAAAGGTTCGTTTATTACAGTAATAAATACGAAAGACCACAGCCACATGTTGGCTTGTTGGTCACCTACTCTAACAGATAGAAGATGAAATGTCAATTTTAATACCTAAAGAAGATTTGGAAGCAAAACTTAAGCTGAATTCTGAGCAACACAAAGCCTTTTTGACAATCTTAGATTGTATACAAATAGGAAAAAGTGGTATTTTCTTTATTGATGGGCCAGGTGGAACAGGGAAAACATTTCTCTATCGTTCCTTGTTAGCTCGTGTTAGATCCAACAAACATATAGCAATTGCAACAGCAACATCTGGAGTTGCTGCTTCAATAATGCCTGGTGGGCGGACAACGCATTCCCGATTTAAAATACCAATACATGCAAGTGACTCAACAAGAGTGTTCTTTATCGAAGCAAAGTGGAGCTGCAGAGCTATTGCGTAGAGCAAAATTATTGATATGGGATGAAGCACCAATGGCTAAACGGTGGGCTATTGAGAATGTCGATAAATGCCTTCAAGATATAATGGGAAATGATCAACACTTTGGTGGAAAAGTTATTGTGTTTGGTGGAGATTTCCGACAAGTATTACCCGTTGTTCCTAGAAGAACGATTAACCAAACAATTTATGAGTTTGGTCAAATCATCTCTATGGGGAAAAATGAAAAAGTTTACTTTGTCCACAAATATGAGGGCCAAAACTGATCCAAAATTCTGTGAGTTCTTACTTAGAGTTGGAAATATGATGGGAATATCAAATTCCACAACAGATGATTATTCATTATGATAATGATGAAGACTCGATACAACGGCTTATTATGGCTATCTTTCCATCTCTAAGTAATAATTCTCATTTTGCTGCTTGCATGATAAGCCGGGCTATACTCACAACAAGAAATGAGAATGTGGACAAATTGAACGAGAAATTGATATCTTTGTTTCCTGGGGAATCAAGATCATTTCATAGTTATGATGAAGCGATTGATGATGTAAACAACTATTACGAAGAGGAATTTCTTAATTCTTTATCCCCGAATGGTCTCCCTCCTCATAAGTTGTTACTCAAAATAAATTGTCCAATCATTCTTCTAAGGAACCTAGACCCATCAAACGGATTATGCAATGGTACAAGAATGGTCTGCAGAAATTTCAAGGATAACGTAATTGATGCAGAGATAGTCTTTGGGCAGCATAGTGGAAAACATGTATTTATACCTAGAATACCACTTTCCCCAACTGAGAATGAAGGTTATCCATTTAAGTTTAAGTGGAAACAGTTTCCGGTAAGACTTTGCTTTGCCATGACAATTAATAAAGCGCAAGGACAAACAATTTCAAATGTAGGGGTATATTTCCCTCAGTCCGGTTTCTCACATGGCCAATTATATGTTGCCTTATCAAGAGGAATTTCAATATCCACTACGAAAGTGTTAATCAAACTAGACACTTCGGGCATTAGAGGAAAAACGACGACAAAGAATGTGGTGTACAAGCAAGTGTTGGCTGCTTGTAAATTTTAATTTACTTCTAATATTTAATTTGCAATATATCATTTGTTATTGAAAATAACTAATGTTGTATCATGTTGCAGGTTGTATCACAAATGGGTAATATGATGATGAAGAATAGTCATAATGTGAAAATTAATTTTATTTCAATTTTTTTCAATTTAAGTAATCACGGTCTTATTGAACATTTTCTATTCTTACGTATCAATTTATCTCATTGGAGCAGGCATGATGATATAAGAACTACAGTAAGACGGATATCTTCAATCTTGTGCGAAGAGCTTCACAGAAGATTTGTTTTGGCTTGACTAGCGAATATAACATATTAAATAATGAATTCTATCCGATTTAGTTCGTTTTGGTTGATTTCATGAATATAAAAACATAAATTTTACTTTCTTCACTATTCTATGAACCTTTTTTTTTTGACTAAATTCAAGTCCATTACAAGGGAAAGTAGGGGAGGGGGGACTCGAACCCTAGACCGTTACCCTATTGGTAAAGGCTAGGTACCAACTCTCCTAATGAGGGTTGGTTCACTATTCTATGAACCTGTTATTGTAAGTTACACAACAAAGGCTACTGCTAAAAATTATGCTTTGTTTGCCATTTTCGCTTTTTTCTCAATATCTGAGCTTTTGATATTTTATGAAGCAACATAATTTATATCGTCAAGATTTTGTTATATTAAATATGGATACATGACCATATATAGATCTACTAATTCAAAAACTTACTATACATGTCCTTATTCCAGGGAACGAAAATATAGAACAACATTATTTGTAATAGTCTCTTAACATTTGTTTATGTACCTTGGGACAGAAAAAAAAAATATTACTAAGATTATGTATTCGGGAGAATTATACTTTTGGTCCCTCATGTATGGACCGATTTCACTTTTGGTCCCCCTTGTTCCAAAGTGAACAAGATTCACCTCCAAGTTTCAATTTTAAACATTTTTTTGTCCCGGCCATTATATATCTGTTAGCAATTACCGGAAAAACCTATTTAGGGGTAACATTTGAAATTTTAAAATCTTTTGGGGCTGAAAATAATTATTAATTTAAAATATACTACTTATAATTTTTAATAATAAAAAAAGAAATTAACGAAACAAATTATTTTTTAATATACTTAATATTATTATAATTATACTACTTATAATTATTTTTTAATAATAAAAATTAACTAAACAAATTATTTTTAATCATACTTAATATTATTTTTAATTATACTACTTATGATAAAAAAATTAATAACAAAAAATTAAATTAACTAAACAATTTATTTTTAATTATACTCTATATTATTTTTAATTATACTACTTATAATAAAAAAATTAATAATAAAAAATAAATTAGCTAAACAAATCATTTATATTTATACTTAATATTATTATAATTATACTACTTATAATTATATTTTTAATAATAAAAAATAAATTAACTAAATAAATTATTGTGAATTATATTTAATATTAGTTTTCATTATACTACTTATGATTATTTTTTTAAGGGCAAATGGCAAATAGGCCCATGACAAGGGCACTTAATTAAAATAGGGAAATCCAACTTTTTTTGTCTTTCAAATAAATCCAGCTCATTCAAACTTATTTGCAAATAAGGAAAATCATTTTATATATACCAAAATTACCCCCAATTCATTGAAACTCAATTCAACTCCAATTTCATGATTTATACCCCAATTTAACCTAATTTCATCAATTAACTAATTTTAAATATATATATATATATATATATATATATATATATATATATATATATATATATATATATGCCTGATATTGAGGATAGAGGTAGACAAGTATGAACCATTGAAATAAAATGTCATGAATATTGATATATGAGGTCATCCAGATATAGTTATTATTGTTTCGTGAATGGACAAGAAATATCCCAAATGATTTATTGCCATGTTAATTCCATTCCCCACAGCCAGCATTCAATCTTGTTTATCGGTGAAGAATATTGAGGATGTAGTACTCGTAATAGTAGTAATGCAATTATGGAATGCTTTGCTTGCTGTAATATATATATATATATATATATAAGATAGGGAGCACCGCGCAAGGCGCGGTGCCCGGTGCCGGTGCCGCGTTCACGTATTTGCACAATATATATTATTTTTGTTGGGAATGCATTTATATGAAGCTGAACGGGTTATTTTGAAATGATGGGTTGCACCTAAAATTGGCGTTTTAGGTGCATAACAAAATAGATAATATTTGTGCAGAGGAGTTCTATATTCATAATAAATTAAATAGGTAATAGTTGTACAGAAATGTTGGTTTTTGGCCCAAATGTGTTTTGGGCCAGAGAGCCCAATTACCCTCATATTTTATACACTACCATTTGAGTTAGGCCCAAAAGAAGTAAGTGAGCCCAAGTCCATATCTGAGCTAAATCCATATGTTGGATTTTTGGCTGAATCTGGACCGTTTATTCCCTCACTTAAATACTCTCTTTTCTCTCCTATTTTCTCTCATTCTGAGACCCTAGCTTTTACTTCTTCTTCTCCGCCGCTCCTGCTTCTGTCTTCTTCCTCCCTTGTACTGCCTTGACCGTTAATGGTTGGAGGTCAAAGAGCATGGTACATAGCTGACTTTGACCCTCCAGTACAGCCTTCACCGGTTCTATTTGACTCCAGTCCCTATAAATACTGGCATGGGGGTTGGAAGAGGAGAGACACAAATTAAACCCTACACTCGACCTAAATCTCTCAGTTTTTCTATTTGTGAGTTCTGATATTGGGGTTTTGGCGAGTGGGTAAGCTTGAGTGCTTGATATGTTCTTTCCTTCGTAGTATTCTGGGTAAACTAGGGTTTGTGTGTTGAGAGAGAAAGAAGATTTGTTCTTCTTTGAGGTACTCTGGTGGTGTATATTGAAAGTGTGAATCTCTGGCCGGTGTGAAAATTGGGAGACTGAGCTGATATTCTCAATCTATTTATCTTTCAATTTATTAACCTTTTATCTCTATCTTTGTGTTATACATAAGTATATATATTCTCCTTGGCAGTAATCAATACTGCTCAAGGGGGAACTTATATTAATCTAGGTTTATGGAGCTGGGCAGTTTGATTCCCTACAAGAAAACATAAGGCTAACATAAGAGCTAATTGCAAATACCTCCCCTGTGTAATCTCTAATTGTCAAATACCCCCCTGTCAAAAAAAAACTCACCAACGCCCCCCTGTGTAACCAAAGTCAATGCATCTAGACCCCTTAAGGCAAATCGTGTCTCTCACGCGCGGGCTCTGCGAATTTTTATGTTATTTCTAGGGTGAAATGTCATAAATACCCCTGTACAAATAAATAAAAAATCCGAGTGGTCAAATTATAAATAACTATAATTTATAGGACCAAATTGTAAATTTTAAAATTTCCAAAATTGCAATAAGGGACAAAAATTGAAGATTTTTTCAGATCTTCTTCTTCGTTTCACTCCGCCGCCCACCTCCCAGCCCGGAAAAACTTCAGCATCACCGCCGCCTTCTCGCCAGTCTAGCACCACCGCCGCCTTCTGGACCGTCGAGCACCACCTTCGCTCTCTGGCCGATCTCGCACCACCGCCGCCTTCTGGACCGTCGAGCACCGCCGTCACCGTCTTTGTTCAAATTGCAGATCCACTGCCATAGGAATAGTGAAATTGGAGGAGAATTGCACTACGCGAATGTCGGGGTGAAAGAAAGATGAGCCGGTGGTGGGGCAGGTGCGTGGGGAGAAGAAGTGTTGATTTGGGTGGTCGGTGGGGTGGGGGTGGGGTGGGGCGGAGCGGGGAAGAAGAAGAGCTATTTTTGCTCTTTTTTTTCTTTTTTTTTTTAATTTAAATTAAAATTTAATATAAAAAATATAAAACATATAAAATCTTTTAATACAACAATACATGTTTAATTTCTGTTAATATTTTATAATTTCAAAATTATTAATAAATAATGTTTATAAAATTAAAAATAACTACACAAAAATTAAAAATAATTGTCTAATAAATTTTGGTTTAATTAAATTAATACAGAGTTAAGAAAATTTTAACAAATAAATATGTACAATATATATTTTACTAATTGCTGAAAAACCCCGTAGGGCATTTGTGTCATTTCACTTTTAGTCAATGCCTAAAAACACAGAGGGGGCTGTGAGTTTTGAAATTGATTACACGAGGGGGTGTTGGTGAGTTTTTTTTTGACAAGGGGGTATTTGCCAATTAAAGATTACACAGGGGAGGTATTTGCAATTAGCTCGCTAACATAATATTGTTACCTTAAGTAAAAGAGAAACTCCTAATTCTAATTCTAATTCTACTTCTGTATTCAAGCTTTATACCCGCCGTCATCATTATTCTTTTGTATTTGGTTTGAACTATCCAGAATGAGACTGTTGTTCAATTTCATCACCAAGTTCTTCAAGAAGATCAAAGTGGCCGTTATTTCGCAATCTATATAGTACAGCTGCGGTAGTGCTAGAATCAGCAAGAAGTTGTTCCAACTTATCTCTTATTGCTAACTGAGAAGATGCATAGTTGTAGTTGGTGCTTCTTGATTCAATGTGTGGTAGGTAGTCTTGCAGATAGAGTGGCTGCAACAGTTTTTTGATTATATCTACTGTTTATTAATGTGTTTGTGCATATAATAGTATATGGTCAACCTTAACATTTTGAGAAACAGGCTGAAAAAAGAAAACAAGGTAGACACTTGAAAATGCAAAGAAACAATCAGCAAAAGAGATAGACAGGATCACACGGGCAACAACCCGTAAATCAATAACCTTTCAAAAGATCAATAATGTTGTGAAAAGGCTAATTTGGGGTCAAATTTGTAATTTGGGTGGAGCGGTTAGGAAGATGGAGTAAGTATAGGGGTGATTCTACAATTTCCAAAACTATTTTAGGCAGGGAGGTGGATTTCCAGAAATAAAAAATTGACCCCCACTTGGGGGCATTTCCGGTTTAAGGACCAAAATAAAAAATGGTATATAATATAGGGACCAAAACTGTAATTATCCCAAGTTTATTATAAATAAAATAATAAATTAAAGTCTTGTTAAATCGTAAATCCTAAAATTTGATCGATTTGTTGATATTTAA